ATGGATGCTCTGGTCACCGTAGGCAGAAGGACTAAAGTGCTTTAAAACCCACGGCAGAATACGCGCCGTGGACCAACTACGAGGCCAACTGGCCCCATCATTTTCGAAAATCTGGCTCCATCGAGTCATGGCTCTGCTCCCACTCGTGGCTGTAAACCAAGAACCCAAACTTCAGACTTCGTGAAGTCTGGTTTTTCAAGTCGGGCCCGGCTGCAAGGTCAGAAGAAACGTTAATGGTGCTCAAACTGTACGAATCTGTACAACACACACCGTATGCGCCACAGACATGCACTACTTCAGAATACGAAAGCAAGTAAAAGCGTTCAGCAACATCACTGTTGAGGTCCTGGGCAAATAGCCGTGCTCGTCCACAGAGTCCGATGGGGGTGGGAGCCAGCACATGTTGATGCCTGCAAAAGATGCGTGAAAACCTTTTCACACCGTGCTAAGTACAGAGCAGTGCATAACAAAGCAGTGCATACGTGCACCGCTCTGACGAGGCGGTCTGACGGTCCACGGCGTGTGGGCACCTGCACTGCGGAGCTCCGGAAGGAGGCCGAGCAGGACCTTGTACCAGCTCGGAGCCTCACAAGAAGAAAAGGAGAAAAGAGAATCTGCGCAGTTTCTGAAAGAAACCCTCTGCCTTGTGACTGCCCCAGTCAAAGGCCTGGAACATGATGATGCACCTCAAGGCGAACCATGCATTCCCACAATTGATCATGTTAGCATCCAAAGCTGGAGCTGCTCCACGTCTTGAAGTTCATGTTTCGATTGAACAGCGCTGCTGCTTGGCGGCCTCTGTTCCCCCAACTTTGGGCAGTCTAGGAAGGCCGTGGCTCGTACCTTCAGTGTGGCATATGTGGACGTTCGGATGGGCTTTCTGAACGTCTTGCCTGCGCAGGTTCGCTGGCAGGGCCGACCACGTCCGGCAGGACATTGTCCAAGAACTGCGAACCACAACGCCTTCAGAAATGCAGAGTCGAGTTCGGCTTCAAAAGTTTAATGCTGGGCCAGCCGCTGGACCACACCTCCTGCCTATCAAATAACATCTGGATTCGCGTGAAACTTTGGCTCATGCGGGCCATGCCTTGAGCTGCGTGGCCCGCTCCGGGCCCAACTGCACGGCGCGCACCTGACACGATTAGGAGGCTGGGGGCCGGCGCAAATTTGTTCGAAATGTTCGAAGCTGCTCCATGCTGCGCCTGGTAGGAATAACATTCGCCAAGCTCCACGGTCGTATCGGTCCAGGCCATTCCATCCTGGTGTGCCAGTAAAAAAAGGCTTCACTGATCCTGTCACTTTGATCACTTCATCCCACCTTGAACCAGCTCAGGTTGGAGTAGGAGCAAGTCGAGCCTCACACGCTAAACAGGCCGCAAGCTCATCCCAAGTACTCCCAAGCCGATGCCATCCGAGGGCCGGGCGCACCCAGCGCCGGGCAGCCGCTGCCTCACAGCACGTTACGGAGAGCTTTTTCTGTTTTGCCAAATCTTCCCACCCCGTCATCCCAGGTTCCCCGTGCCTCGGGATCCAAGGGTTTGGCAGCCTCCGTCTCGCTGCGGATGCGTGCGTTGGGCACCTCACCAAACAAATGTCTCCAAAACCTCCACGACCCCTTTCGGGATGGTGGCCCGAGCCTCGTATATGTCGATAACGGTGCCGTCGCGAAGGATCTGCAAAAGCAAGAAAGCAAAACGACAAAAAGGCCTTCAGAACTTCGTGAAACTCACCTTCTTAAGCAGCAATTCCTATGAATCGACGCCTCATAGGAAGCCACTGGAGCCCCTCCGCAGTCAGCGGGCGGCTCCCACTCCAACGAAACCTGAAACACAGAAATGCTCAAACCTTTTTTACGAAGAGGGTTAACCTCTTAAACATTCTCTGGAGCACCACGAGCTTCCCATTCTCCTTGCGGGGGTTGGCTCGCAGATTCCTTGGCCAAGAAGGTGACGGAAAGCACGCTGACGCTGGGAACTGGAGCGCCACTCAGAAAAACTTCAGAGGAAGCCCTGACTGTGAACAGCATTGCAGCATGCAGCATGCTTCAGAGCATGCTTCAGAAAGGCGACTCTGCCGTCATTGACGAGATTTTGCTAGCAGTGGGCCGTGCATGCAAGCTCCGTCACTTTGCAGGATCTCTCCGTAGGATATCCGCATTTGCAATGTGCCAAAATGCTGGAATGCGCTCACATTTCACGTAATGTGAGGATCTTGAACAAGCAACGGTCCGCCGGACCGGAAATCTGCGCCTGAAAGAAGGCCTCGCTTGGGGCCAGTCGTTATCATGGATTTGGGCATGGGCGCGTGTGAAAATAGAGCGCTCGGGACGGGCACTATCAGGAACACTGTGAAACACAATCTGAAGCATCTGAAGCGCTGAAGCAGAAGGCAGAATCGAGCCGGGTCCAAAGCTTCCTACAAGGCAGTTGACCAAGACCACTCCATGAAGACGAGAGCCCCCCTCCAAAACACGCTCGACTCATACATGTTCATGCCAAGTGCACCAGAAAGCACTCCAAGAGCAGCCCAAGAGCACCACATGCACAAATGAGTTTCAAGCCATCCCAAAACGCGTTTTGGTGACCACAACCACCAAATGCACCGTATCTGCCAGGCTCCCCAAACCACACATTTGGCTCGAAGAGCAGCCCATGAGCTGAAAACAGCCAAAGGCATTTCCACAGCTGCACAAACCTGACAAAACCTCTTTGAACGGAAGCCAGTTCACTTACAAGAACCGAACCGGTGAAACCGCCTACAGCTTGCAGTTCGTAGAACCAAACCGGAGTTCAGCGGCCCTGTAAATTATGGTTCATGATCTTTCTGGGGATGCACCACGGCACAGCATGCATTCATGGAAGGCTGTTTGTGCAAGAATGATCCGGGAGCCGTTTGCATGTGCGCTCGGGAACAGGCGTTACTGTGGTTTAGCCATTGGCGCAGATGGACGATGCACGGCCACTAGCGGATTCAGCGGGTTTAGAAGGTTTTACGCATCACTCTAGGGATAGCAGCGGGTTCTTGAACGTCTCCACCTACTGACAGCATGAGTCTCTCTCTGGCACATCTCTGGATTCCTGGATTGTCTTCCGGCCTTGGGGCCGTTGGGAGGCCCGGGAGCTCGGTCTTGATGCTCACGGCATCGCTCAGCGGCCTTTGCTATGAGGTCTTTTGCGCGAGATCTTGTGAAGTCTGGCGTAGAGTCGCAAATTTGCCAAAGGCACCCCGCCACGTCCTGCCCATTGATTGCCTGGGCTGAGATGCATTGCTCAGCTTCAGTAATACCATGCTTGTGTCCGACCGCGACTGAGTATTCGTAGTCTGTGAAGGCGAACAGGTTGATATCCTGGAAAGAGCAAGACCTCAGTCTCAAGAGCGTTCTCCAAAAAAATCAACTTTTCTCAGGCTGAACCACTAAAGGGCATTTTGAATGTGGCTCTGAGGTTGGCAGCGTGGTCTCCGTCTGGCCAATCACTCGGCCGTTGCGGAAAATGCGGTAACCTCTGCGCTCTCTTCTTCTTCTTCTTCTGGAACGCTGCTCCGGAAAGAGCTGAGCGTTGCTCAGCATCTGTACATGATGCACTAAAGAAAAGGAGGCACCCATGTTGTTGTGCATCTGCGCCGTGAAAAACTGTTGCTCGAAGCTTAAACTGCCAAGCCGCAGCTGTGTGACGAGCCAATGTTCTCAGGATCAAACCGAAGCAAATTATTGGGACTTAAAGACATATCAGGCGATTGAGACTCCTTACATACATGATTGACATATTCGTTGATGTCTTCGCGCTCTCTGTGCCGTCTAAAGCTACTTCCCTCGCAGGAATCAGGAAGGCATGCGATCTTTACGAGGAGAGTCCCCGGCACTTCACCGGGGCCTCGCCATCTGCCAGAGGAGGCGGCCTGATGGGTTGATAAGTTGCTGACTAAACCACCTGGCTCTGCAAAGCATCTCTGCATGGCTCTGCTCGCTTCAGGCGCCCGGCTCCCAAGCGAGTTGCACGCGGGAGCCGTCCAGTGCCTGCAGCTATGCAGGGGGCAAACGCCGATCAGAGCAAGAAACTGTAGAAGATTGTAGAAGATTGTAGAAGATTGGAGCTCCAGCAGGCATGCCTAGCAGGTTAATATCAGCTTTCCCGTTCGCCTCTGCTTGCAGTGCTTGGGGCTCCTGGGGTGGCAGAGCCACCGGATCCAGGTGCCCGTGCGTCAGCACGTAGACGCCTCTCCGAAGTGAAAGAGAGGGGAGTGAGAGAGAGGTGAAGGAGAGGTGGACTTTTCCAGCCCACCGGAGAAGACACAAAACGAAGAATTTTCAGAAGCTTCGGGGCCTGGCCTGGAGTCATCACTTTGTAGTTCTTGCCGCCGGGAGCCTTCTCAAAAGGAGAGGTGCTCTCCTCATCTTCTCTCATCTCTTCCACTTTCCTTTCCATCTTCTCATCTTCTCACTGCTCTACCTCCTCCCCAAGGAGAGGGCTCGGGCATTGCCCCAAGCAGGCACGGTCCGTGGGCGCGCACCGATTCAGGTCCCGATTAGCGAACATACACGGGTCCGCGAAGATATGGTCACATAGTCAGTACAGCTCGCCAGCCCAGATCCGAGTGAGATTCACGAAAGTTAATCGCATGCGGACCCGTCTACGGACTTCATCGCTGCTGAACTCGGCTGTGAGGTACCCGGCCCCTTCAGTCCCGCACGGCTGGCAGACTGAGCTATCAAACGGACTGGGGTAGAGCAAAAGGCGGACGAGAGAAATCATGACAAATAACCATCAATGCAACACCCCTTCTTCTTCCTCTCTCTTCTTACAGCTGCAAGCTTCGCGCTTCGCAAGCTTCAGGTCTGGCCTTGTCCCAACCACGGCCGCCATCATTCATCACCAGTTCCAGACTCCGCGCATAGGGCAAGCATAGTACCAGCCAGCCCTGTGCCAGCCAGGATTAGATTTCGTGAGAAACCGTGTGCCGTTTGCTGCATTTGCATTGGCATTGCCTCAGCGCTGTTGAAGGAATGGCATGGGCTGGACTCCAGCTCCACACCAGGGAGCTCGCTCCAGCGGTCCTCACCGGAACTGCAAAAAGCTTCTAGCTGCTAAGACCCGCCACTAGCAGCACTAGCAACAGCGTAACAGCTTCCTGTTGGGCGCAGCAGTGTGCGTAGGTGCGGCCCCAACAGGACTGGTAGAAGACCGTGATGCCCATCTTCTTTTCTTGCACCTCCAAGAAATTGCAGCGCTAACAATGCAACTTGCAGCAGCATTGCAGCTTCTGAAGCCTCTGCAAGGTGTTCTCGGAGGCTCTCGTGGCAGTCTCCTGCCTCTGGAGAGCTTTGCGAAGGAGAAGCGCTTCACGGCTTCACGCTTTTCCGTTCTTTTCTCGTGCCTCGAGGGCGTCCACGGCCACGGTCTCTACGGAGGCCGGTGGGCCCAAATTGAGCTCCTGCCAGTTGAAGTTAATGAGCGTTGCGATGCATAGTGACACAGAATTCATAGCTGATTTTTCGGTGAGCGCCCCACCTCTGTGACTTCTGGGAAATGGTCCTCTGGCGGGATGCTGTCCTGTCGCTCCTTCAGCACTGCTTCTCGCAGCTCCTTCGCAAGGCAGAGCACAGATGTGAGCGCAAGGTGACGACTTTGCCTTCTCAGCCATGGGAGGCAAATGTGCCGCCACCACGCTGTAGCCTGGCTTCAGCCGAGCAAGTCTCGGTTTGCATGTCACATTCTTGTTGAGCCGGGCTGTAGCTGCTCCCACGAACCACGTCCGTGTCCGTCCTTCAGGGACGCGTGATTTCTGTCTCTTCGTGGACAAGGGCAATGAGGTCTCAGAAGGGTCCAGAGGAACTTCTCGCCCTTCTCCACTTGCGATGCCAGCAACGTCTTGGGCGCCTTGTCACAAGAGTCACAAGTCCACCGACCAATCGGATTTGTTTTGTCTCCAGCCGCCTGCCTGGCCATCGCGCTGCACGAGAAACGCCGTCACAGGAGCTCCGCCCGTGTCCTGCAATTAGCTGCCAAGCAAGCCAGCTAGCGGCAACCAACACAAGTACACCTGCATGAATGTACATGCCTCGTCCCCCAAGATTTACCTGGGGTTGGTTGTGGGTCTCAGGTGTATGAGTTTTGTTTTACGTGGCAGAGGTGAGTGTGCGGAGCATCCAGTCAGTTAACATTCGCTCTGCATAATGCATGCAGAGGTCTCACATCCTGAGCCTTAATTTCCTTTCTACAGATAACATACCACATGAGCTTGCAAATTAAAAATACTGCTCAAATACTGGGTGCCTAAGCTGAAGTACGTAAATCTCTTACCAAAGGGGTATCAAATTCAACGGGTAATTCGCAGATCGCGGGTTCCTGATGGTTTATTTGTACGTTCATTATCTGATTGCTAAAAGAACCTCTAATTAGAATGGGAATTCCAATCCTTTGCCTTCGCTCTCCTTTCCTTAGCCTTGATTTCACCTAAACTTTTGTTTATTGAATGTATCTCAAACTTATAGAGGAATTGTCAGGTCCTGGATTCCAAGTTTTATTTATTTCAGCCCGTTTGTGACATGTGCTGAACATGTAGACGAAGGTTCCATTTTTCTGGGCCTGGATTTTTCGTATGCAAATGCTGGTCTAAATGCAATTCGAATTTCGGTTCTTCATTTGTGCATGTAGATCCCTTATGAAATCTGGTTCGAATGTACATGGGAATCTCTCCTTCCTGGGCCTGATTTTCTCCATAACTCCTTTACAAGATGTGTTCCGGATCCAGTTAGGAACTGTTATATCCTTGGCCCCAGGCTTTCTCAAAATCTGGCCGGAAATCGAATGATTCCCCTTTCGAGGGCATTGGTTAATTCTCAGGTCATGAGATTCGGGTTTTCTGTGTATAGATCCCTCACGACGCGCGATTCAAATTCACATGAAAAGCTTCTCGGCTCTTGCTTGGCTTTCTTTACGTAGACCCGTTGCGGTCGATCTACATTCCTTTGCTACAGAAATCCTGGAATCCTGGATTCCCGGCTTTTGAGCTGGCCCTGGTGCACATTTAGTCCTCATTGATTTATTTTTCACCTGGAATCTTGGACTCTTGGTTTTCCAGCCGGTCCATATACATCACTTATTTAGTTACAGCTAATACAGAATCCTGGAATCCTGGATTCCTGGTTCGGGAGCTAGTTCTGGTCCATATGAATTTCTTATCAAATTTCATTACAGCTAGCACTTCAAACTAATACAGGAATCCTGGAATCCTAGACTCTTAGCTTTCCAGCGGGCTTCGGTCCATATACATAGCTTATTGAAATTTACGTACAACTAATGCAGAAGTCGTAGAACCTTGGACTCTTAGTTTTCCGGCCGGTTTCGGTGCATATAATGCCTGATTAGTGTTAAGTCCGCCGACCCCGGCCTGACACGGCGAGCGCACATAGGCCTCCCACCCGTTCCAGTCCCGTTCCGATGCAATCCCTAAGCCCCCCTCAGACCTCTTCCCATCCCTCCGCTTCTCCTATTTGCCCCTAGCCTCCCCGCAACAACCTTAACGTCCCCCCTTCCAAGCCCCACAATTCAGGCATAACCCGGGTCGCCCCACCGGTTGCCCCTGGCCCCCTCCCAGCAACCCTAGTGCCCCCCCTCCGAAGCCCCCCCCTCCATGTTTGCCCACAGTCGACGTTCCACTTTTCCTTTTGCTGTAAGCGTCGACAGCCGCGAGATGCTCTACTTCCCATCCCTCCCCTTCCAACCCAGGGCTTACTCATATTTGCCCCTCGCCCCAAACAACCTTAACGCTGCCCCCCTTTCCAGGCCCCCACCCACCCCGCCACCAGCAAAACTAGCCACTCCTCCCAGTCGCTAGGGCTCCCCTCCAAGGCACCCCCATCCATGTTTGCCCATCAAGGGTCTGCGTTCTACTGTATCGTGGTCCAGGACGGAGCCCGTGTCTGAAGCTTTAGCTCTACAGAAGGTGGCGCCACCGCCGCCGACCCTCGAAGCCCGTGCATCATCGGACCTCCGTTTCTCTCGAGCCTTTTTTTGGACCCTATCCCAAAACCACTCCAAAATTCACATGCGCTCCAACAGCGAATCCCCAAGGCACGGAGGGATTTTTGAAGGTTTTTGCGGGTCTGCAGGACCCCCAAAATCTGCATCATGAGCACGGGCCGTTTTGAAAACTAGGCGCAAGGCCCGTCTTGAGGTACGGCTGAACGGAAGGCACAAAATTAAGAAACGGACCCCCAATGATGCTGATGATGCTGGCCCCCTTGGCCACCATCATCGGCATCATTGAGGTCCCGTTTCTCTTCTTGCCAGGCTTCTAGGCATGTTGGAGCCGAATTCTATGGTGGGTTTGGCATGGGGATATTGATGGGTGGCGTGATGGGTTGCAGGACTAGCGTGGGTTTTCGTAGCCCCTGCCCACCCAGCCATCGTGAACGCTAAGCCCATGCTGATGCTCCTGATTGACAGAAATGTACAGAAAATCTTATGGTATCTTATGGTATTGCTACCTGGGATGTTTCGCGCCTCGTACAGAAGCATTATCAGCACAATTGGAGACCCATTTTTACCTAATTGGGACCTGGAGGGTCAAAAGCCCAAGAAAAGGCATCAAAGCACGAAGGCGGCAGGGCCGGCCCCTGCCGCTAGGCCTAAAAAAAACTAACACGCACCTTTGTTTCCTGGTATTGGAATTGGTTCCGTTCCAGTAAATCTCTTCTGACATGACAAATTTGAATGTGAAATCCTGGACTCCTTGTTCTTGTGCTGGTGAAAATTAACGAAACCTGAGCCAGTTACATGTGAAGGGGTTTCAAACAACCCAACGCTTTCGGAGGTCTTGGGATTGGCAGGTTCTAGAGTTGTTATTATTTTTGGGACTTCCTCAGGTTTTTGCAAAGTTTTCAAGGAACATACGGTCAAAACCTGAGGAGGTCTTAAACATCACAGGTTGCAGGTGAACACTTTGCAAAAACCTGAAGAGGCTTCCGAAAAACAAGCACAAAGTTTCAAAGGCTTTGGGAATGACAGCTCAAGAATCTTGTTTTTCCGTGTCCTCCTCGGATATTTGCATGTTTTCAAAGCAAATATTGTCACAACCTGGACTGAATTTACAGCTGGAGCTAATGAGGTCTCAAGAAACAACCTAAGTCTTGGAGGTCTTGGGATTGGGTCACTTCAATACTTTTGATTGGTGTTGGGACCTCCTCAGGTTTTGCGGTGTTTTCAAGGAAAACGTTTCCAACACCTGAGGGTGTCTCTAAAACAATCAAATTTTTGAGCCTCCCTATCACATGACCTCCAAGACTTTGGTTGCTTTGTTTTCGAGACTTGCTCAGGTTTTGGCAACATTTTTTCTTGAAAACACTGTAAAAAACATGGGGAGTTCCCAAAAACACGCAAATTTCTTCAGCCTGCCTATCACATTTGCCTTGAAAACCTTGGAAAATCTGAGGAGAACAAGATTCTTGAAACTCCCATTCCCAACACCTCTGAAACTTGGTTCTTGTTTTTTTTGCTTGAAGCCTTTTCAGGTTTCAAGGTCTTCTAGAAAAATCTTACCAACAATTGAGGAAGTACGCGCACAATCTAGACAAGTGAGCATTTTGCATTAGCCACGGAAGTTGATGCAAACATCAAAACTTGCAGATGTCAGTCAACTACCGGATTCCGGTTGTCACTAAACGCATCTTCGCAACATGCAATGTGTAATTCAAGCAGATGTATTTATTTCGCGTAAACAGCAAAAACAAAGGAGACCTTTAAAGGTAGATCTTAGGGGGTGACCATAGACCGCCTACCATTTTTTGGGACGTTCTACGAAGCGGATGCTAGCTAGTCTCAAAAGATGATGTATCAACAAATCTGTAAATAGCGGCTACATAGCTGTGAGTTTGGCCTTCTCCATGAAGATCTCTATCTAACATCTCACTCTGGAAAAAGGCAAGAAAACGGAGACCAACAAACGAGCATTCCTGTCTTCCTGCCTTCTTCTATCATATGCAGAGTCAAGGTTAGGATTTCCCTTCACTGGCCTCCTAATTAGCTGGATGGAAGCAACCTGAAACCGGATGGAGCCAAGAAACGCAGTAGTTTCATTTAACAATTACATGAGTTAGGTTGTTTGTGATTGGTTGGTTGCATTTAACTCAGTAATCATGTTAAGGGGCCCTGGCCAATCTCATCAAAGAAAGTTGTACCAGATGTGTAGAAAGCATATGACTGAGATGACCAGCCCCTTTAATTTGAATGATTAGATTCCGGCCCAGGCTCCCTACTCAAATTTAACAAGCATACTTTGTAAATGCTTATACAAAGGCAGGCGCCCCAAGATTTGAGAATTCCGCATTAAATCCGAAGCGCGCCTAGTAAGGGACATACATAGAAAACACAAGGAAGCCAGGGCTCGAGGATATGTATCAAAGGCCGCCAGAAGGAAATCTATGGTCATATCAGGGACCGAATATTTAAACTGCAGTACGTGTAGGATAGAGGAAATGCCTGAGGTACATATATATATATATGTACGAGGGACCTCTATGTATTATGTGACCCAAGTGTTTTTGGTAAGGAATTGTTTGTTGGGAGACCCGGACTTTTGCAAATTCTGAAATTCTAGGATTTAAGAGGCACAGAATTTCTAGAATTTCTAAAATTTCTAAAATTCCTAGAATTCATATAATTTTAGAATTTTGGGAATTTTAGAAATTCGACTATGAGAAAAAAATCCAAAATCCTAAAATTTTAGAATTTTAGGAATTTTAGACATTTCGGTAATTTCTAGAATCCTAAAATTTTAGAATTTTAGGAATTTAGAAATTTCGCTATTAAAAAATCATAAAATTCTGAAATTCTAGGATTTGGGAGGCCCAGCATTTCTAGAATTTCTAAAGTTTCTAAAATTCCTAAAATTTCTAAAGTTATACAATTTTAGGAATTTGTAAAATTCCGCTATTAGAAAAAACTTCTAAATTCCTAAAATTTTAGAATTTTAGGAATTTTGGAATTTTC